CTTCAGAAGATCATTCATTTACCACAGTTGGCAGAAGCACCTCAGGACATGGACAAGAGCTTCTCCAAGACTAGCTAAGCTTCAATACATGAAATAGTCACTGTGGTTCAAACTACCTTTCCTTCAGGACAAGAGTATCAGTGCAAGCATAGGTATCACTTGAAGATAGGAAACTGGAATCCAGGCCCTTGCATTTCAAAGCCAGCAAATGAAAGAGGAAAGTGGTTGTATATCAACACAAGAGGTTGGGGAGATGGCCCTGGGGTGGGGGTGGGGGTGGTAACGGACAGTTCTCAGGACTGAGAGTCTACATCTGAGTTCTAATTGGACGTTGGATGAGACATGTGGCCTTTGGGAAGCCACTTAATGTCATAGCACTTCAGTTTCCCCTTAAAACTTGGACTGGGTTGCCTGTAACTAGGTGACATTGTGACTGGAATGGATTGTTACTGGGTTAGACTGTGAGTGGTTTGGATTATGACTGTGTTAGATTGTGACTGGGTTATATTGTGACTGGATTGGATTGTGACTAGTTTACACTGTGACTGGGTTAGATTGTGACTGGGTTACACGTGACTGGATTGGATTGTGACTGGGTTACATTGTACTAGATTAGGTTGTGACTAGGACAGATTGTGACTAGGACAGATTGTGACTAGGTCAGATTGTAAACTAGGTGGCACCGTGACTGGATTTGATTGTGACTGGATTAGGCTGGATTGGATCTTGACTGGATCAGATTGTGACTGGTTTTTCAAGCTTTGACTCTATCAGATGAATATCTAAAGTGACTAATCTCAAAACCTAACCAAACTTTTCCAAATTATACTGCAACACATTCAGACTTATTTACTCATAAACTGTACTCCAAAATTAGAGCATTTTATGTTAGATATGTTTAAATACATATTACAAGCATGAGCTGAAAATGAAATGAGCAATATTTTTAAAGTAAGTTGTTTTTAAAAAAACTAATAATTTTGTGAGGACAAAAGCCCATGTTATTCCCTTTCAAACTCCTGGCTTAAAATCTTGTGTGCTGTGACTGAAAGGTTATTCTTAGGGCACCTTTTTTCCCCCTGATACATTAGCTTTATGGACAGACAAAACTAAAATTGATATTGTACAAACCTGTGGATATCAAGATGGGAAAAATACATCATTGATGAGTATATAAGCACTCATTTCTAAGTGTCACTAGCTATTGACACCAATAGCTAGTAACAGAAAGGCTGCGGTTAAAATCCAATTCATCCTTTTTCCCCACAGTGCTTATAACAAAGGTAGTTAGCAGCTTCAATCTAAATATGTCAGGTGTCAGAAATCCCATACAGCATAAAAGGGCCAAATGGAAAAATTTAATAATAATAATAATATAATAATAACAATAAAAGGATGATTTTTTGGAGTCAATCAAAAAAATCTACCTGGGGATTGATTCTTCTAAATATCAAACTTTAAATAAGAAGACGTAGGAAAGTTGAAAGCAAAAGGATTAGAAAGAGCATTGAATACCCACATTAATCAAAAGGAAGCTTTCCTACTGCACAGATGTCAGGCCAAGTAGACGGTAATGTCAGAACACTCACTAACAATAAGCTATCTCATAATAATAAAATGGTTAATTCAACAGGAAATTACATTAACATTACATGTGTACATAGCAAGTATTATAGTTTTAAAAATGCCAGTGCCAGTGTGAAAACTGATAGCACAAAAGTTGAAATGCTAAATCCATAATTATACTTGTGAATTTTAATAACTTTCACCATCTGTCCAGAAGAGATAAAAAGTTAGTAGTGCTATAGGCCAACTGCCATGGCTATTAGTAAGCTTGACCTGATTGTCATTTATGAAACATGTAACCTTCTCCAATTACTGGAAACATTTACCATGCTCAGACATATTCTGGGCCATAATGTTAGTCTCAATTGATTTCCAGGGCTAAAATAATATTGAATTCATTTTCTGTCACTGGTAGAATTAAAGAAGAAATCAAAAACAAATAAACAAACAAAAAATACAAAAAAAACCCCCCAAAACCCCTAGCTATAAAATTCCCAAGAATTTGACTATTATTCATTGTTTTGCTAAATAATTTTTAGGTCTAAGAAAAAATAAAAACAGCAAATTTTAAATCTTTAATGTTTCAGAAAAATGAAGCCTACTAACATATTTGCATGAAAGATAAAGCCAGCTTTAGACAAAAGAATTTTGCCTTAAATGTACATATTATAACATGTACATGTTAAAAGTCGATGTTCTAAACATCACCCCTGAGACTGAGAACAACCACGAGAAGTAAAGCCGAGGGAAATAATAAAGAAGAAAAAGAAATAAAGTTTGAAAAACGTGAAGAATAAAGAAAATGAAAAGTTGGCCCTCCAAGTAAGTGAATAAAAATGATATAGCCACAGCGATAGACCCCACAGCTATGGAGGAAGGAGGGGTGCCAGTGGGCTCACCAGCATCACAAAGACCACGAGTGGCTGTTCTGAACAATCCTGAGCTTGGAACTTAAGATCTCAAATTATGACAAAATATCCTTAACATTGGTTTAAGAAATACGAGCCAGTAATTAAGAATCTGCACCTCTTTTGAACAAGAAAAGCATGGTTTGGACAAAGAACTTCATAGCCATTTAAGGAAATAACAACACAAGTCTTTAAAAGGGGCTCTCCAAAGAATAAAAGAAGATAATAATTCCTACTCACTCAAAACTTGTTTTTTTTAAGACCAATTAGTTTCATCAGATCAAAACCTGAGATAGCTATCACATAAAAAGAAAATTAGAGTATAGTTTTTTTTCTCACAAGTTTGAATAACTGTCTTCATCAGGGTTTCTACTGCTGCCATGAAACACCATGACCAAAAAGCAAGTTGAGGAAGAAAGGGTTTATTCAGCTTACACTTCCACATTGCTGTTCATCACCAAAGGAAGTCAGGACGGGAACTCAACCAGAGCTTGGAGGCAGGAGCTGATGCAAAGGCCCCTTACTGGTTTGCTTCCTCATGGCTTGCTCAACCTGTTTTTCTACAGAACCCAGGATCACCAGCCCAGGGATGGCACCACCCACAAGGGGCTGGGCCCTCCCCCACTGATCACTAATTGAGAAAATGCTTTGCAGCTGGATCTCATGGAGGCATTTCCTCAACTGAGGCTCCTTTCTCTGTGATGACTCTAACTTGTGTCAAGTTGACACACAAAACCAGCCAGAGCAAACACCAACCACTCAAACAAAATATTAGCAAATTTATCTCAGTGATTTATACCAGAAAGCAGCATTTTCAATCAATCAGTCATCACATTAGAAGGATAAAGGCCAGGTAATCTTTGGTAGTGTCAATAAAAGCATTTGATAGAAACCTAACATCCACCCAAGACTGATGGTCATAGACACCCAGGGAGTGAAGGAAGTTGTTTTCATCTCAGAGTGTGTCCACTAGAGAACAGTGATCAAGAACAAGGTCATGAGAGTGGGGGAGGCTGAGAGTGTACATAAGAAGGTGATTCGTGGTCTCTCACAGGAAATCAAGTCAAAGTTGGATCTTTAGCTTAAGCACAGGAGCTAAACCTGTATTGCCTGTAGACGTAAAGATGGAATATATTCACGACCACAGAATAGCAAAGGCTGACTTCTTAGCAAGGAGAAAACAAAACTTTATCTTAGAAGAGAAACAAAATGGCAACAGATTTTGTTAAAATGAAAAGTCATTACTCCTCAAGAACTGTCACTGAAGAAAGGAAAAGGCATGCTGTGTACCGGGAGAAAAGACGGACCTTTCTGATGAGTAACTTGAGTGTTTACTTAGGTTACTTACAAATGCATAATAAACAGACAAGCAGAAGATTTAAACAAACAGAAACGATACAGGAATGGCCAGTTATCCCTGAAAAGACGCCTTGCGTCATAAATTAAAGAAATGAAAAGTGAAGCCTTTCTTTTGACTGCAGTCTCCAGATCTAGTGTGTCGAAGGTGAGCACAGTGCCAGTCAGTGCTGGCAGGAAGCAGCTGCAACTCTTAGCTGGTGGACTCCATGTAAAACAGCCCAGATGCTTTGGAAAGTCATGTCCTGCTGTGCTATGGCAAGTGTTTTTACTTATGTTCCTCTTTTGTTTAAGCTGGTTCACCTTGGGTCTTTAGCTGGCAGCCAGTGAATTGCAGCTGAGAGAAACAGTTAAGACATTCCACCGTGCCACTGGCTGTGTGAGGGTGTCATGTTGGCCAAGGTGGAGCCAGGACCATTTATCCACGGGTAGTAAGGGAAGGGCTTGAAATGTCTTGCTCTGACACAAAGGAATGAAGCCAGCAGCTCTGGGACTTAGATGTCATGGCTAGCTCTATTCTGGCTGTGTACCTTTATATTTACTCTATGGTATCATCTGCATATTTCAAAACAAAGCAGTCTACGTGGCTGTGAGACATTAGCAAAAACAAAAACCCAAAAACCCAATGCAATTCCCAGGATGAATTATGGGATGTGGTCATTAAGAACATGTTAGTGGCAACAGATTCAGTCCAGGATTTATGCGAGATGTTAAGGATAATCCTTGCTTGACGAAAGAATTAAGATCACTGGATTTTAAACAGACTACTGGGTACATACAAGAATATTTTGAACTGGGATTTACATGCATTTTAAAAACAGACAAATGCAGCTACACATCAAATAGAAAACACATGGGGGTCAGGGGATATTACCTTCAAGTTTTCAAATACAAATTCATAGCCTCCGCCCATCATTGTGACTTCTGGCTGTAGGTTCCCTCCTGAGTCCTGAGTTCCTCAGGCTTTCAGTGTGGGGCAGCCGATTAGATGGGAATTCTACCAGACTTGTCATCGTTTCCAGTGGGAACGTTCATATGTTGTTGGTTCTTAACTTTTCAGATCTTAATTTAAGGTCATGCCACCAAAAGGGATCTTAACTTCCTCGTTTTCCATTTGCCCCATCTTACTATGTAGAACTGAAGTTAAAAGGGGGGGGGGAAGATGCATACCTGTGTCATAAGTCACGATGAGTTTCCCATTGTGATTGCCCACAGTCTGTGGCTCAAAGTTCACTTCCAGTTGCATGGATTCCCCCACGTCAAGATTCCCGCCCGTTGGCTCTACTGAGTATGGGCTGCAAAGCATACGGAGACAATATCAGGGCATAGTTCTGACTAGCTCTGCATGAGGAGAGGAGACTAGGGTTCTAGATCTTCATACAGCTCATAGCCACCTTCCTGGTCTAGGAGTGCAGTATGTGAAGGAAGTAATTTTAATGTTAAAATAGCAGTAACAGCCCAGTGAGGTAGGTAAGAGACGAAACATGTTCCTGTTTGTATTCTTGTCTTTCAGATCATTTTTTTTTTAAATTTGAGGGGAGGGGAGGATGTACCTGTGGGAATAAAATGGTCAGGCCCTCCCTCAGGACTCTGAGATTGCAATAATGGATAGACTGAAACCTGTATGCAAATACTGTCGTTTGCAAAAGAATACTTCCTTCCAGAGCTGAGAGGAGAGAGCATCTTAATAGTGGAAAAGTGTATCGGAGTCCCAAAAGCAGAGTAAAGGCACTTTCATTCTTGGAAATCTTAACAAGGTTCTGTCCTAGAGAGATGGGAGGAGTGTAAGGACTTTAACGTGTTTAAAAGTCTAACGGTACCTAACAGTCACTACCATCTATAGGCCCAAGAAGTCAAGAGAAAGGGGTTGGGGGAATCCTAGAAGAAGGCTGCCTATTGAGTGGCAACAGTAAAACAAACAATACCATGATGGTTAATCTCATTGTCAAGTTGACCGTGGCTTAAGTCTCCTACGAGGTCACTGGGGCACACTTCTAGCTAAGACTGTGAGATACTTAGGCAGAGGATTGACTAAAGGCGAAAGTCTTAAATGGAGGGGGTACCACCCTGTGGGCTAGGTACCTGAGTGGAATACAAAGGAGGGAAGGGAAAGGCCACCACCAAAGTGTCTGCCATGCTGGGGAGTGTCTTGTTCTTCCCTACCCCTCTCTGCCATGATGGATTTGAGGTAAAATTAGTAGCTGAAAGGCCTCCTAAGTCACACCACAGAGGTCGGCTTCCTGGGAGTGTATAGGGTGGGGGGTGGGGATGAATAGAGAGAGATCTGCGTCTTGAGACGCAGGGGACATCTGAGCAGTGGGAGATAGTGTCGCTTGGTGGTCCTGGAAGAGAATAGCAAGCTGGACCGGATCCTGGAGCACCTCGAACAACCCATGGAGGGCTCTTGCTTCTAAGCAGGACATCCAGACCATTTAATTATTTTCATGGTCTACTACACATCTTTAAATTGCTCGTTTTTTTCAAAGTACCGTGTTGGGCAGTGGAGCTGGCAGGCTGGGCTGTCTCTCAGGATTTGCATCTACTGTAGCAGCATCTAGAATCATCAACCCTTAAATCTGCCTGTAGACAATGAACTCAGTTCCAGAGGACCCACAGGGCCCCCGCAAGCACTGCTCCTGCTCTGTCCAAGCACAATAGACAGGATCCTCTCAGAAAAATGCACCGCTTTCCCTCATGGGATGCTCTTTCGGCCGACACTGATCACAGCTCAGATGCAAAGTCACCTCTCACAGAGAACATGGCAAGTGTGGAGCACCCGCAGGCTTCCTCCTTTCCTCTGAAGGGTTCCTCTTAGCCACTGAGAGAAGGGGCCATGAAAGTGACTTCTGGTACAAGGTGAACTGCAGGAAGAAGCAGGAAGGACCCAGAGGAAGGACCTGGACGCAGGGGTTCCTTACACTCTATCATGGGGCTGTTCTATACACAATACACTTCTAAATCATTCAAAATACCTTGGGTAAGTAACACATCTGACTTTTAAACATGACCAAAACAGGTGATCCCCCACCCCCAAGGGTGAGTAATTTGCTTAAGTTCTCCAACTGAGGGAGAAGTAGAGGTGGGAGAGAGATTTGCCTCCAGGCTGTGTGCTTTCTGCTCTCCCCAGGCCTCTTCTGTATGTGGGAGTCCTGTGTGCACTTTGACATTCAGGTCTCTGCCACCCACACCACCCTCTAACCACAGGACCATACAGCAGAGGTGGTTGGATGGAATTACAGTAAAATCTTGTGGGAGTCAAACCCAGCACATGCTAGACTCGAGCTCTGCCACGGAGCTGCACCCCTAGCCCACAGTCAAATCACAAAGGCCAATAAAACATTTGCCATCTTTCATTAATTTTTCATAATGCCTTGGAATAGAAAATTAGTAAACATTCAGTGGCCGAGGAGGCCTTTCTTTGTGGGAGATGATGGACAAGTCTCCCAAGCCAGAGGTCTATCCTCCCTTCTGGCTCAGGAAGACTCCAACCCCAAAGGATGGAGCCCGTTTCCTGGCTTTGAGAATAACGGGACAGTGATGTCTCCTATTGTTGCCTCTCCACTTGATATTACCTTTTTTATTGAACCTTCATTTTCCTCCCAAACACACCTTGGTAGCAAGAGAACATTTTGAAGTGAATTGGAGGTTATCTTATCGCAGAACCTCAGCTAATCTTCTATAGAGGAGGTGACACCCGAGTCGGGTCTTTAGGATCTGCAGGAGTTCCAAATTCTATAAAGTGGTAATGGATGCTTTCCCTGCAGGCTAATTGTTGGTTTTAGAATACACTAAACTTCTTCAGCAGTGAGAAAAGTCACCAGGGATTACCCTCGCCTCCTGGAGCTCCCCAAGCTCTCTCGATAAATCAGATGCTAATTGGATAGAGTGCATTAGGCCCTGGTGCTTAATCACTGCCTGTAATTTGATTTTGCACTTCATTTTACTAGGGGCCTTCAGGCTGAGCTGCCTGCAAACTATCAAGTGTCAGGAAACTCACTCACAAAGAAGTGAGAAGTGGCGATCCTCTGGGGTCCAAGGCAAGTTTTGTCTATTAAACTGTTTGGTTTTGATATGACACCCTTATTAATATCAAATTCTTTAATTATGGAAGGAACTTGGTCTTCTGACAAACCATGAGTCTGGCCTTGGAATATTAAATGGTAAAGATTATATCAATACCTCTTCTCCCCAGGGCAGAACTATTTTACTTCTAACTGAGCTTTTAGATCTTTAAGTTGCTTCTCTATCCTCTCTCATCCACTTCCCTGTATTAATTTCACTTTAATAGCCAAAGTTATTGTATGACCTGCTAGAGTTCTAGGTCAAATTCGTAATAAAGCTGAATGGTAATTGTTTATGTTCTCTGCATATTTTATAGCACAGCGTGGAGCTCCTTGTATTACTGAAGAAACCATTACGCCATTTTATAGTCTTTGGAACATGTATTTTTAGTTTAAGTTATTGTGGAGGTTTACAATTGCAGCTTTGCCTGTGTGATATATTGTTGGGTAGGTATCCTACAAACATTTATTGAGCGCTTATTTATTCTAGACATTTGCTAGATGCTAGCACACGCAGATGAAAGAGCCAGATACAGCTCTTGCATCCGAGAAGCCCACAGATGCGTGAGGAACGTTTTCTTCTTATAAACCTAATCATCTTAGAAATGAGTTAGATCATCGTTTAAATGAGAACAAGACCAAGATCTGCTTTTAACAGAATTTTCCACCAGCTACTGTTTCTCATTGTATCCAGAACCTAAAAGCGTTCAGACTAATATATGGGGCTTTAGATGTGAAAGTCCTCAACTGTCACCCCCTTACCTCTGCTGTCTCTATTAAGAAGCGTGTTGACAGGAGTACTCTCTGTCTCATGTCGACCTGAGTGGTTTTCAGAAACGACACCTACTGAGGATCTCCGCAGAGATTCCGATCCACACACCTAAGTCACCAATCCAACCACATCCCTGCTCACTGCCGTTAAGAGGAGTCTCAGTTGCAAACAGCAGAAGCTGAATGTAGCTAATTCAGAAAAGGGATTGCTTGGAAAAGTGGCTGGGAGGATTTGGGGAGTTCACTGCACTGGCAATGTGGCTGGAAATTATCAGTTTCGTAAAAAGGTAGAGAGGAAAACAGCAGTCTTTGCAAAATTGGGGATTTGAGAGATTTGGCTACACAAAAGATGGGCAAAATTAGAAACCCAGCTTAGCATAATGAGGGATGGCTAGCAGCAGCTAGACATTTCCATCCTTAGGCCGGAAGCAAAAGGAGGGAGGGAGCAGTGTTATCAGATCTTGGGAGTCAGGAGTCATTGAAACCATGGCAGGCCAGTCTGATGGCAGGCCAGTCTGATGGCAGGCCAGTCTGAAGGCAAGCCAGATGAGGTTCAGCTGAAGATGGAAAGGGACGAGAAACACCCCAGCCCCCTGTCCTCTAGTCTCCTTCTGGTGACCCATGGTCAGACACAGTTGAATCCAATGGTGCAGGAGGCTAGGAAGGCCATGGCCTGCACAGCAAAGGAAGCCAGCCATACAGTAGAACCATAAACAAGCTCTAAACCAGCCTACATGTGCTAACACAGCCTCAGTGTTAACCTCCTGAGAGAATGTGATAGGTTCTCAGCCCTTCCTCACACCTTCAGCTATAAAGTGGGAATGTCAGACCAGGATCTCTAATGCCTGTGTCTCCCCATTGGTCCCTGAGTTTACTCTTGGTATTAACCCAGAATTGCTATGTTAAGAAAATCTGATGATTTGCTCAAGCTACATGGTTAAATAAAAAGACATGTTTTAGATCTGTTTCAGGAACCTTACACTGTTGAATGTGGGTTTGGCTTGTTTTGTTTTGGTTTGGGTTTTGGTCTTTTGGCTTGGCATTTATAAGTATCTTGTATGTAAGAAAGTGATAGATGAAAAATGTTAGCCTCAGCCAACCGATCCAGGATGATATTCTGCCTGTATTTGTCTTTCCATATTGAATGACTTCTCTTACATATAAAATATCAATATACTGCTTTGAATATTTTTATGCATATGTATATATGTATGCCTGCAGGAGTTTAGATGCACTGTGAGTGTGCAGGAAGCCACAGAGGCCAGGAGAAGGTGATAAACCCTTTCAGAATGGAGTTAGAGGTAGGGGTGGGCCTGCGGAAATAAAAGCTAATTCCTTTGGAGACCTGTATCCTTCAGGCAGGAGAAGGACTCTACAGAGAAAGTCCTTCTAAAAGAATGAGCTCACAAATCATAAGTCATAGAAAAACACTTGATCTCCTGCCCCAGCTTGATCTTCTACCTTCTACCTCTAGGTCATTGTCCTTGTGAAGACCCCACTGATGACCACCATTTAAATTATTTTAAATTGTGTGGATGTGTGTATTGAGGGAAGAGATAGTATGTACGTATAAGTACAGTGCCCACAGAGGCCAGAAGAGGGCATCGGATGCCCTGGATCTGTAGTGGTGGTGATCCGTCCAAAGTGGGTACTGGGAACTGAACCTGGATCCTCTGCAAGGGTAGCACACATCTCTAACCCTGGAGCCATCTCTCTTACCCCTCGACCGCCATTCTTAGGCCCACAGCAAATGGTTCTTTTACTCTTTAAAGTATTTATTTGTATGCTTCTTTATTATTACTAGTGTATGAGTGTGTGCATGCATATCATGGTATTCATGTGGAGGCTGGAGGACAACTATGTAGAATGGATTTTCTTCAGCCACATTCACATATAGGTTCCTGGGATTGAAAGCAGATTACCAGGTTTGCATGGCAAGCGAGAACAAAGATGGTCTTGCTTTATATTAGTCCACAGGGTTCAGAACACTGTAGACATGCAATAAAATGTCAAAATGAAACCCAACTCCATCACTTATTCCCCTTGTGTCCTTGCTACAACCTCTCTTGCATAAGCTCCTCGTTGTCAAAGCCAATAGTAGCAGGCAGAGTTCTCTTCGCATACATAACTTTGAACTCTGTTCTATTTTCCTAGAATTCTGGTGTTTATATTGGGCCCATCCAGTGAACTTGCATTGATCTGCCCATTTCTGCTTGTTTGGTTGGTTGGTTGTTTTGAGACAAGGTCTCCCTCCATAGCCCTGGCTGTCCTGGAACTCACTATGTAGACATGACAGGCCTCAAACGCACATGGATCTGTCTGCCTCTGCCTCTAGGATGGCCCGATCTGTCCCATTTTAAGGCCAGCTATTTAGCAGTCTAATTTGCATCTATAAACTCAATCCCTTCTCTGTAATGTTCCAGAGTCACAAGTACTGAGTATTGTTAGAGCATGGTCTTGTACCTTTAAGCCTGATCCCACAGTCTGAATGAGGCCACGCCTCCCTGAAGTGCTATCTCTCTCTCTCTCTCTCTCTCTCTCTCTCTCTCTCTCTCTCTCTCT